TGGCTAATTTCAAAAGACAGTTAAGGCAATAACTTCACTCCAAGACTTTACAATAAGCAAAAAATCAATGTATTTTTAAGAGAATTTAATTAAATTTAAATCCTACACCTTACTGTAGAATTTCATTTGTGTCTAGTAAGTTAGAGTATTTTAATTCAGCAATAGGATTACTTCAAAAACCAGTTAATATGTAAGATGAATTAGCATTAAAAATAAACCAATATGCTTAATCTTCAAAACAGTTTCCAAAAGTAAACAAACATTAGCAGTTGAAAAGCTGGAGAAAAACAAATTAAAGCATCACTGAATAATACATTCTAAAAAAAAAGCACCATAGCTTTCCCTAATGTGACAGAAATCACCAAAAATCCAGCTGAAAAGGATATTAGTGTCCAGGCTGATAAAATTGTCACAAACTATAACTGTAAAAGGTGGTAGTTATGGGTTTCTGAACAGCCTCAATTCTTTTCTTCTTCCTGCCTATGTTTGGATCAGTTGATAGCATGGGCCATGGGAATTTCAGGTCATGTATTCTGCCTTGGTAAGAGAATCAGGCTAAGAACTTTCCAGCACTGTGTATGGAACAACTTAAAGGCAAGAAGTGTGTCTTCCTCATCTTGGGTGCCCATTGCCTAGAACAGCAGCTGACACATATCTGCAGGTTGGTAATGCGTGGTCAATGCACAAATGAGTTAATATCTAACTAAAAACCAAGAAATTTTGCCCTGGTTCAGTTTAAACTGCCTACTAATAAACTGCCTTAGTTTTCTCACCTACAAAATGAGGCTAATTTTTTACGTCCACCCTCACTGAAGTTTTACAAGAAATGAATAAAAATATACGTGCAAAAGTATCTGGAAAACTCACAGTAGTAAACAAGTGTAATTATTATGATGATTAGCAGCAATACATTGTGGGACAAAAGTAGGTTTACAGATGTGAGTAGGTGAAATCAAGGTTATTCCTATAATATTATTTTTTAATTACTGTATTATTTTCCATAAGAAAACTATAAACCTACTTTTGCCCCACTCTGTATATGTAGGTTAAAATTATATATGCAGAGAAACTGAATGTGAGATAAAGTATTTCTTTAAAAAAATTATTTTGAAGAAGCTTCAAATTGAATTAACTTGCTCACCAAATAAGGTAACATGTTGAAATATAGACAAATTCACTTTGGAAATAAAGAACTGGGGGCTAAGAAATCCCTTCAGAAATGTTGTCTTGTGGTTTCATTGTTTTAAACTTTATAAGATTTTGAGAACTTGATAATTAATGTTTTTGGGGATTACCAGGAAGAAATTCAAATGTCCTTATATAGTTAATACAACTGAGTTTATCCCAGATATTAGCTTTCCCATTCCAAAAAAGTTAATAATGTACTAGAAGGCTAAAGATGCCTATTCAGCATAAGCAACATAAAAAGCATCTATTTTTGTGTTGCAAGTGGTTTTCTCCAAAACTTAAACAAGCACAGATATGATCTAAGAGGGAAATGTTTGAAGTTATACTGATCTTTGTGTTAAAATAGCACATACTTATCTCTATTATTATTTCTGTCAATTAATTAACTCAAACTTAAAAAAAAACAACACTAAAATGTAAAAAATAATTTGGCTTTAGTATAGTTTCCAGTTGTACAACTTTCTCTGCACTTTGGAATCAGCTGGAACAATTTTTAAAATGGTAAATCCTGGACCCAACACCCCCTCTCCCCAAAGATGCTGATTTAGTTGATATGGGGTGTGGCCCGGGCATCAGGATTTTTAAAGTTACTCAGGTGATTCTGAGATGCCATCAAGGCTGAGAACCAGTGCCCTGGAACATTCTTGGAGGGAAGAATCCTAATAATAACAATAAACTGCCCACCTAAGGGGACATACTTGTGCCAAGCAGCTGGCTAAGCACTTCACAACGATTTTATGGGAAAAGATTGCTACTAATTCCTACTTTATGAATAAGGACAGTTAGAAGGGGTAAGAAACTCTCCCAAAGTCCTGCTGCTGTTCCTGGGGTGAGAGAGAACTGCAGGGCAGTGGGAACTGTGTCGCTGACTGCCACCCTGGTAGGAGCTATGCCTTAAACCAGATTCTATTTAAGGGCGAGTCAGAGTGCCAGTGAACCAAAGTGATGGCAGAATTACCTTTGGGGATATAGAGACACTAAAGTTAGCAAGATATTAGAAATGCCCATTTTTCTCCTTAGCCTGGCTGTCAGAATAAATTGCAAACTTTCTCAAAATAGTAATGTTGAGGCAAAAAACACTCCCAGGCAGTGTTCTGGTCTAGCTCTAGCTGCATACCTCTAAGTCGTCATGGACACAGGATGGAACAATGAAATCATTATTTGACTATTATTTTTTAGTTGCTAGTCAGCATAGGATTCTGTCTGCACACTGTATCTCTGCACTCCCTTTGGATCGGGGAGCTGTCCCTCCTGGTGGTGACAGAATAACCACAAACAGCACGAGCCCTTCTCAGGGGACAGTCATCTTTATCTGTCAATATTAGTCAGTTGAGAAACAGAGATGCAGGCAGCTGAAAAAACAGTCTGACTGCTTTAAGTTTACAGGTGGCCTTCTAATGGAAAGTCTTACACACTGAAATTCCTTTTTCAAGTTGAAAACGTTTGGACAAAAAGGGACAGAATTTGGCAGTATTTTAATGCAACGTGTCTAACAAGCTTGCGAAAACAAAATATCACATTTTAGAGAAGCTTGGTGAACCAAGCACCAGCCTCTGGCAAGCAGACTCAGCTGTTACCAACCTTCCTATGCTGCACATTCCTCATGGTTAAAATCAGATCAGCCACACGTACCTGTTATCGCAGGGCCTGGTATACACAGCACACTTAAATGTTTTCTGAATGAGTTCATGGACACTGGGGAGAACTAATTCAAAAAATATTTCTGAAAATCAAATTCTGTGCACAGTAACATAATAATGTCAGCATGTAAATAACAGTTCAGCAGCTTAAAGCCCAGCTAGAAAGTATTTTGATATGTGTGTTTATTTGCTCATGCATGTGAGTGTGGGTGTGCGTTGTTTGCTTGGGAGAAACCAGGATGAAAATACCAAAAGGCATTAGACTGACAATTCTATAACCATTAGCAGCAAGGATCAGACACCTGGGGTTCCGTGAAAGATACCTGTTGTGCTTTCCCCAACATTTGGGGCAATGAAGCAAACAGGGCCAGTTTATTTTGTCAGTGGCTCAAAACCTTTTCCTGATTGGCCTATCGTAACTTAAACTTTTTGTGGGGAAAGGCACTGCTTGGAGCCTATCCCAAGGAGTCAAGTACAGTTAATTAAATTGATCAATTTAGCTGCTACAATAAAATTTTCCTACAATAAAATCAGGGTTTTAAAAAATCAGATTAGACGGCTATTTACAAAAGTCAGAAGAGTGTGGGGTGCCATGATGGATAGCCCTGGACAGTCCCTGAGGGAGAACATTGTTGGGGTTGAGGGATTAGAAAAAAATACAGAAACTAATGAGAAAAGGAGAGACGGTTAATTATAGGTTTGGGTAATAATTTTGCCTTCAAATCTTGGGGAAAGGGCTAACAGACCCTAGTAAATCTGTAAATCAGCAGTTGTCAATCAGGTGGTCTCTCTATCACTGGGTGGGATATTGAAATAGCTAAGTTAAGAATAAGGTCTTTATTACTTGTCTTGGTTAATAATGCTTGATAAAATTTGCTCCAAATAATACCCTGCAATTTTAAGATCCCCAAATTACTATGAATGATGAATATAATTGAATACCTACAAAAATATAAATGCCTTTCTCTTTTAAAGAAAGTAGGTCTTGGGGGAAGGGCACAACTCAAGTTATTTGATAGGCTGGCCTGTGGGACGTGAATTGAGAATTACTCCTATAGACCCTCTATGGAATATTGAAAAGGAAATTTCCAGAAGCAACCTAATGACTCTATTTTTGGAATAGAAAGACCACTACATCTGGTGAAAACTAAGATTATATTAATTATATCCAGGTTTGAGAACAAAACAAAACTCTACCACCCCAAATTAGAATTGAGCAAAAATAAGATTAAGTTTCTAGAAGGTAAACACAAAAATACAGTTTACATTATAAATTGTAGAGCAGAATTATAGTTAGCATATGCTCACTATATAGTGTGTCACTCGTCTATGAATATATTTTTAAATGTTTGGAATATGCCTAAAACTTCTACGTGTTTTCCTCCCCATTAATAACTCTTACTGAGTGCTGGGCACAATTATAAGCATTTTACATGTATCAACCAACTGATCCTTCCAACAACCTTATGAAGTACTTTGCAATGTATCTCTATTTTATGGATGAAGCATGGAAATTTTAAACTGCCTGCCCAAGGAAACACATCTAAGTGAGTGTTAGAGTCAGAATCTGATGCCAGGTAAAGCATCCGAATCCCCTCAGGCCACCAACTCCCTGCATTACCTCTACTCATTCTGTAAGATAAAGTTCACTATTAAAACATGGATGTCTCTTGATAGGGTGCCATATTTTCCTCTTTGTTGATTGATCTCATTTGTACCTATTTCATTGCTTAGTTCCCATAAGTGTACTCAAAAGTTTGCCATCTATGTAACTATTTTTAGAAAGCTATGTAATTTCCAAAACAAAGATCTGAGAACAAAAATAAGGTAGATTAATGTTTTCATATACATATATATATATATATATATATATACACATATACATATATATGTATATATATTTCACACACACATACACACACGCACATGCATGCACAGGCATGCATGCAAATGAGTTAAATAGCTCCTTGGGATAGCAGAGTAAGAACTTAGTAGATAAGAAGAGAAAATTAAGATTAGGTTGCTATGGCCCCACTGAAGAAGTACCTATGTATCTGCAACACATGTGGAAATGACTCAGCTGTTCCTGAGGGGGTGTGGGGCAAGTAGAGAGATTGACTTAAAAAAACACAACTAACACAGTAGCCTTTGAACTTGAGAAAAAATACCTACCTCCAAACAGTAAGCAACTTAACCATCAGTCTATACTTCTTATTACCATCCCTAGGAAACCAGGCGTTGGGAAGAAAGAAGGCCACATTCATGTGTAGTCACCACCCAGGAAGACATGTATTCAAGCTTGCAGAATCAATGGGAATTTAAGTACCTAGGATTAAAGTCCATCCAAGATTGACTTAGAGCAGTAGTTCTCAACCTTCTGGCCCTTTAAATACAGTTCCTCATGTTGTGACCCAACCATAAAATTATTTTCATTGCTACTTTATAACTGTAATGTTGCTACTGTTATGAATCGTAATGTAAATATCTGATATGCAGGATGGTCTTAGGCGGCCCCTGTGAAAGGGTCATTCGACCGCCAAAGGGGTTGCGACCCACAGGTTGAGAACTGCTGACTTAGAGCAATCAGAGCAGGAAAACTAAGACCCTTTGGATTTCCATTTTCTCCATTTGCAGCCATCCCATATAATAAAAGGATAATACGCAAATTGACCCTAATGGCAGAACTGGGAATGACCAGTCACTATGACATGCACTGACCACCAGGGGGCAGATGCTCAACACAGAAGCCGCCCCCTGGTGGTCAGTGCACTTCCACAGGGGGAGCGCCGCTCAGCCAGAAGCTGGCTCATGGCTGGCCAATGCAACGGCAGTGGTGGGAGCCTCTCCTGTCTCCGCAGCAGCACTAAGGATGTCCAACTGGCATTCATTTGGTCATCTGTATATTCATTCAACTAATGTTTATTGAGTTCCTATCCTGTGCCAGGTTCTGTTTTAAGTACTGAGGATAAAGCAGGGTACCAAACAGACCATGATGGTTATTCTCAGGAAGCTTATTGTTTACTGATAGAAATATGAAGACCATGTCTTAATATCTGTCATTATTGTACATCAAGTTTATTTGACAATTAATATTACACATTTTTACATTTAAATAAACATGGCAGTGTTACAGCTCAACCAAAAGGTTGCTGTTTCAATTCCTGGTTAGGGCACATGCCCAGGTTGCAGGTTCAATCCCCAGTGGGGGCCGTGCAGGAGGCAGCTGATCTGTGGTGCACTCTCACATCAATACTTCACTCTCACATTGATATTTCTCTCTCCTCCTCTTTCTTTATACCTAAAAATCAATAAAAATGTATTTTTCAAACGTGTGACTTCCCTCATGTTTATTCAAATGTAAGAATACATAAATTCATTTAAACTGCACAAATCATAATCAAAACACAGACATTTTCCAATGTAGGAATTGTTAATTTGCTAACAACCTACATACACTAATGACCACTGCAACCCCCATTTTCTCCAAACTTGAAGCCCCCTTTATCACACAGTTCCTTGGTTCCCACTTCCCTTTTGGTCCTCTTCTGCTGTCTGACTATTCAACCTTCATACATACATCCACTCATCCATCTGCACACATATGTGCCAGGAACAAATATGTGGAGTGAGAACCTCTGGAATCCATTTACCCTTGTCCCTTAGGACCAGAGTCTCTCTGAGGTTGAAAGAGACCTAAGATGCTTCTACTTATTAAGACTCTCAATATGCAAAAAAGTAAAGAACTGCCAAGCTAAAAGGCTTATTAAAATGCAGTTTATGTTAGATACCTACATTTTACATATTAATGCATTTAACACACACAATTGCAATGACAAAGGCAATAACTTTATGTTTAGTTTTATTAGAAAGAAATGTCAAAAGTTTAAATTTATGAGGTCCTCTGTGAACCTGAGCCCCTATTCAGATGGCCCTCCTGGCCCTGCTCGCAACCTTTTCCTCTCAGCTTCTGGCACATCCCTAACTCATTGCCAAAGTAAAGACAACAGGCTGTCTGCACATATGAGCACTCAATCTCATTCCCTACTGCTAGCATCCCTAGAAATCTCCATGGAAGTAAACCTCGCAAGAGCACAGGACCCTAGACTAGGCTTCAGGGTCTTAAACGCCCTAGAGTTCAGGGCTCCTATTGGTGGTATTTCACACTTAGTACAAGTTTTAAAAAATAAGATTTTTGTGGCTCTCCCACAAATTAAGTAACATGATGTTCTAGGGGGAAATGCACCCTGATTGCAAATCATTAACCTAAAACTACAGATTCCTGGAACATGACTTACACATTTATGGCATTACATGAAACTATATTTTTCTCATCCATGGTAACTGCATTTCTTTTTTTTTCCTTATATATTTGCCTTATATGTTTTTCCTATACATGGCAACTATGGGTCTTTTTTAAAAATTTTAGCTTGCTCACAAAAAAACTTGCCATCCATTTCTAACTTACATAAATCATGGAAAGTAACAGATTCCTTTTTGAATTTACAATCTACACTAATAGAAGACAAAGATGCTAATTGACCATAACTTTGCTATGCCCAAGCCACGCCCACCAGCCAATCAGAGCAACTATATGTAAATTAACCCAACCAAGATGGCTGCCAGCAGCCACGGAGCTGGAGCAAGCAGAAGGCTTGGTTGCCCCGGTGATATAGGAAGCCAAGTTTCCTGCCTGCTCTGGCTGGCTGTGGCCTCTGCAAAAGGCAACAAAGTTTCAATTACAGAAGCTAAATAAATCCCAGATACCTGCTTCCAGCCAGCCTCCACTGGGAGCTTGGGTGGCTGGGGGCTGTGGCCAGCCTGCAAACAGCCATCAGCCACTCACCCAGACTGGCCAGGCACCCCAGCAGGACTCTCCACCCTGAAGGGGGTGTGGCCAGCCTGAAAGCAGCACCCCAGCAGGGACCCCTACCCTGAAGGGGCTGTGGCAAAACTGCGAACAGCCATCAGCCCCTCACCCAGGCTGGCCAGGGACCCCAGGGGGGACCCCCACTCTGAAGGGGCTGTGGCCAACCTGCAAACAGCCATCAGCCCTTCACCCAGGCTGGCCAGGCACCCCAGCGGGACCCCCACCCTGATCTGGGAAACCCTTCATGGCAAACCTGCTTACCCCTACCCATGCACCAGGCCTCTATCCTATATAATAAAAGGGTAATATGCAAATTGACCCTAACAGCAGAGTGACTGGGAATCACTATGACACACACTGACCACCAGGGGGCAGACTCTCAATGCAGGAGCTTCCCCCTGGTGGTCAGTGCACTCCCACAGGGGTAGCTCTGCTCAGCCACAAGCCAGGCTGATGGCTGCCAGTACGGCCTCTCCCGCCTCCTCAGCAGCGCTAAGGATGTCCAACTGCAGCTAAGCCTGCTCCCAGCTGGCAAGTGGACATCCCCCGAGGGCTGCTGGGCTTCCAGAGGGATGTCTGACTGCCAGCTTAGGCCCAATTCCCAGGAAGCAGGCCTAAGCCAGCAAGCGGTCATTCCCCGAGGGGGTCCCAGACTAAGAGAGGGCACAGGCTGGGCTGAGGGATCCTCCCGAGTGCACAGATTTTTGTGCACCGGGCCTCTAGTCCTATATAATAAAAGCCTAATATGCTAAGTGCCCGTTCATCTGGTGGTCCGTTCAACCAATCAAATCATAATATGCTAATGATATGCTAAGTCCGCTCAACCGCTCACTATGACATGCACTGACCACCAGGGGGCAGATGTTCTGGCCAGTAGGTTAGCTTGCTGCTGAGGTCTGGCTGATCGGGACTGAGCGAGACAGACCAGACACACCCTGGAGCCCTCCCACAGTCCCTCCCTGGCTGGCCAACCTCCTGTGTCCCTCCCCAGCCCCGATCATGCACTGGTGGGGTCCCTCAGCCTGGCCTGCACCCTCTCGCAATCCGGACTGAGGGACCCACACACACACCCCCCCCCCGAGTGCCCGAATTTCATGCACTGGGCCTCTAGTATAAAATATTTCTGTATATAGTTATACACAAGAAGCAACTATGCATCTTATATTGGTTATATGTCCTATATTTCATTCTAGAAAGCAAATCATACTTTTAGCATAGAACCATTTGCATTGAAATATACCTTAGGTCAAAAAATAAAAGTTTTACTTTTAATGCTGCTCTGTGAAACTACCACTTCTATGAGGAATATTCCTTCTACAATTGACAAAATAAGATGCCAAGAAAGAGTTCAAAGTACTTGGCTTCTAAACCAGGAGATATTTTTTTTACCTCTGCTACATTTATGCACATAAGCAAAATAGGTCTCAATAGAAGTGTATTGCTTTGTGGTAAATTTAATTTGAATAAAAACAGATTTATTGAGTGGCTATTATAGTCTAAACACTATGCTAGGCCTGGAGATAAAAAAAAAAAAATAAACAAAGATTTGGTCTTTACCTAAAGGGGGCTCACTATTCGCAAGACTTAAAAAACAATAAATAGATCCAATATAATCTTTTAAATTAATCACAAAAAACTAAAGTAATTGTGAAAAGCATCCATGTAGAGTGAAACATAATACTATGGAGTATGTAAGCATGCCAATGAAAACATTTTTAATACATATAATAATGGATAATGGCTATTTAAATACCTACTATTGAATGGACAGATAATTCATTTTTAAACTATGGAATATATAAATCCAGCAAGGGTCACATAGACATTATTACCATTGCTTTTGAAAAATGATAATAACAACTTGGGTGCTAGTATCTCTACTTTTCTTTCTTTTTTCCCCTTCTTTGTTTCTCTGTTGACGTTCTAATGTCCAGCATGTGTGCTCAAAAGAGCAGAAGGTATTGGCCAATACAGATCTCCATGAAAACATGAAAGAAACAGTAGGGAAAAAGAAGTCTCATTTCTTGATATTCAAGCAGGCAAACATGAGACTATATTTCTCTGTAGAAGAAAGATGCTTATATGTCTTACAGTTTTGATATCACATTCCTACTTTCAACTTAATATAAAGTAAATATTTTCTTAGTATAACTAAAATTCCTCAATGAAAAAAAAATACTAAAGAGGCTTAGTATTTCTTATAGTAAGTAGTTTCAATATTCACCTTCTTTATAATTTTCCTAAAATGTCATAGCTGCATAGATTTCTCATTAAAAGAGAAGAAATAATTTGTTTAACTTCATAAACATTTTTAAAAAATTTTAAAATGGGAAAGTTATACTACCATCTTGTGGTTAAAAGTTCATTTACAGGAGCAAGGACTTCTGGTATTTCCCATTAACTAACTCCACAAAATCTAAAATTAAAAATTAAAAAAATCATGTTTGAAATTTATGTTCAAGAAAAATATATTTTCATATATCTCACTCACTTTCTAATGTTAAAGTCCAGTGGATTAAAACAAGTAATGACATTATGAGTGACTACTTCAGAGAGATAAATTAAAAGAAATGTACACTTAGCACTCTAGGTCCTGCTCACAGCTTATAATTTACTATGAGAGTAATATACACTCTAACACTGAAACTTTAGAGAAACAAAATCATGCACTCTAGGAGTTTCGTTTTTACAAGGTAGTCTCCAAGACCTACAAGCAAGCAATATGGCATTTATGCTAAGCTTATTAACAATTTTTGTTTTATTCCAGAACTCCACCTTAGTTAAGAAAGCAAGACCACCACAGAGAAAATAAATATTATAGCAACATAGTTTCTTCCATATCTCTTAGATACATAAACCTATTTTTCCATAAACTAAGAATAATGATTAAATTTAAAAATTAATTCAAAAGTACAGTCATCTATGTTTTTTAGATGTATAATTCTCTACAATCTATGCAAGGCACCTGTTCCAAATGTTTTACAACAGTGGTATGTAATTAGAAATTAACACACTTCTACAGAAAGTCTGCAGAAAGCCTTTCCTTTTTAGCATATTGCCAAAATTATAGGGAGACAGCGCCATCTAAAGGTATGCACAAGTTCTGAATGGAGTTTTTAGTTTGTTCACTGTGATAAAGGAGCCAAGCAGACGTATTGCCCTAGAACAGCGGTTCTCCACCTGTGGATCACAGCCCCTTTGGGGGCCGAAGGACCCTTTCACAGGGGTCGCGTAAGACCATCGGAAAACACATATATAATTACATACTGTTTTTGTGATTAATCTCTATGCTTTAATTATGTTCAATTTGTAACAATGAAAACACATCCTGCATATCAGATGTTTACATTACGATTCATAACAGTAGCAAAATTACAGTTATGAAGTAGCAACAAAAATAATTTTATGGTTGGGGGTTACCACAACATGAGGAACTGTATTAAAGGGTCGAGGCATTAGGAAGGTTGAGAACCACTGCCCTAGAAGGAAGCGCATCTTTGGAGAAATACTTGTAATTTAATTTATCTCAAAGTGTTTTAATCTATCTCTATGACGATTCTCCAAAATAACTATAAAAACAACAACAGCCACAACAACAACAATAAAAACTAATGTTTCCCATAATTGTATTACTCTGATTTTGGTACACTTGATGACCCATAAATATTGGTAACTTTTCCAAAGAAACAGCATTATGGCATGTCTCATCTCTCTTTCTCAATATCTCCCCTCTCCTCTCTTCTCTTCCCTTCCTCTCTCTCTCTCTCTCTCTCTCTCTCTCTCTCTCTCTCTCTCTCTCTCTCTCTCTCTCTCTGTAAAACTTTTAGCCATAATTCTATTTTAGGTGTCATTTAATTCTATTGAAACATACATTTTATTATTCTTTCTCCAATGTTATATCTTCCTCCTACAATAGTCCATTCTAGTTTTTCTGGACAGTCAACTATACTCACCCTTGCTACCAGATTCATGCAAACAAAAAGGCTCAAGATACCTATACCTATTTTATGCAACCTAAATTCCCTCATTTATCACAAACAGGTTTGTTTGTTCAATCTGTTTTGGGGCAGTTCTCACTCTATCTAGTAAGTCATTCTGGTGTCTAGTTACATACGGGTTCAATTACCAATCACCTGAGGATTAAGACTCAGTTCGTTCCTAATCAATTGCCTGTAAGGGCTGGAAGTAAAGGGGTCACCCATTGATGCGGACAGACCCCCAACTGGTTAATATGGAGGATTTCATACTTGTGCTATGGCTGATATTTAAAGATCAAGCTAAAACAAGAAATGGCCTGTTTCACCAAGGGCAAACCCTGTTTGTTCATCAATATTCAAGTTCCAGAGCAGCTACAATATTTAACCCAACCAAAAGGACAAGAGGCCTTATGAAGGTAATACTCTGTATGCGGCTGCCAACCTGATTTCTCATTCTGCACACTATGGGGTAGTGGGTAGGAGTATAAGTTTTGAAAGCAAAGAGAACATAGTTTGAGTCCATGCTCTGTCACTGGCCTCGAGCAAGTTATTTAATATCTCTGAACTTCACTTCCCTCATCTTCAAGAAATTATAAATTAATATAAATGATTTAAGTAAAGAAGGTGCTTTGCACTTAGTAATTATTCAATAAAAGTTAGTACTTAAAATTTATCTTGCAGTTTCCCACTTGTCTTATTAAAATTATTGGCTAGATAATTAGGTAGGATCCACCTAACCCAAACAAACACCCAGAGAAATTCATTTGTGACTTCTTAAGACAGCAAAAAGAATGAATGAGAAAGACTGAACTCAAAATAAGGACGAGTGCAACTACATAAAAAGAGAAAATGGTACTTGAGGGTCTAATATCAGTTTCAAAATTTAGCTCTGAAACAGTTTTGAAAATCATTAGACTCCACGTGGCTCTTGATTCCATGTTCTTTTTTTCTGTTAGAAATTGTCTGCAGGGCACAAAGGAGTTGGATATATAGATCCAACAGTATCTGCAAATGGATAATGCTGAAGCCAGAAAGCAGATGGGCTTGTTCAGGGAGATAACAGAGGGCGTAGGGCAGAGAACTTTAGAACCCTGAAGAACGTAATTTTTTTTCAATTACAGTTTATGTACAATATTAGATTATTTCAGGTGTAGAACCCATTGATTAGACATTTATATAACTTAGGAAGTCTTTACCTCGCTAAAACTAATACCCATCTGATACCATATATAGTTATTACGATATTATTGACTAAATTCCCTATGCTGTACTTTGCATCCCCATGACTATTCTGTAACTGCCAATTTATACTTAATCTCCTCACCTTTTTCACCCATCCTCCCAAACACTCTACCATCTGACAACTGTCAAAATGTTCTCTGTATTTATGAGTCTGTTTCTGTTTTGCTTGTTCATTTACTTTGTTTTTACATAGATTCCACATATAAGTGAAATCATATAGCATTTGTCTTTCTCTGTCTGACTTATTTTATTCAGCACAATACCCTCTAAGTCCATCCATGTTGTTGCAGATGGCAAGATTTCATTCTTTTTTATGGCTGAATCATATACTGTTGTATTTATGCACCACTTTTTTTTTTTTTAATCCTCATCAGAGGATATTTTTTCCACTGACTTTTATAGAGAGAGTGGAAGGGAGGGAGGAAGGAGAGAGAGACATCAACATAAGAGAAACACATAGATTGGTTGCCTCCCACTCAAGCCCTGACCAGAGCTGAGGATGGAGCCTGCAACCAAGGTACATGCCCTTGACTGAGAGTCGAGCCTGTGACCCTTAGGCCCAAGGGCCAACACTCTAACCATTGAGCAAAACCAGCCAGGGCCACTTCTTCTTTATTAATTTCTTGATGAACACTCAAGTTGCTTCCATATCTTAGCTATCTATAATAATAAAAGCATAATATACTAATTAAACTGGATGTCCTTCTGGACATCCTTCCGGATGACCTTCCAGACGAAGCCAGGGCTGCAAGGGAAGCCTGGGTCCCAGGTGCCAGACGGAAGCCGGTGCTGGCAGCCGGGGGAAGGAAGGCCTACTTTTGCATGAATTTCGTGCATCAGGCCTCTAGTTGTAAATAATGTTGCAATGAACATATGGGTTCAAATGTCTTTTTGATTTAGCATTTTGGGTTTCTTTGGATAAATACCTAGAAGTGGAATTGCTGGGTCCTTCTTTGTCTTTGTTATTGTCTTTGTCTGGTATAAGTATTGCTACCCAGCATTTTCTTTGTTTGTTTCCATTTTCATGAAATATCTTTTTACGTGTTTTTTTTTTTACTTTTAGTCTGTGTGTCCTTGGACCTGAAATGAATCTCTTACAGAGAGCATAAGTAAGACAGCAAGTTGAGTGGGGCGGGGTCTCAGGGAATCATCAGGGTGGGGCTAACAGTGTTAGGTTGATGGAGACACAGATATGGCCAGGCCTGCGCCTGCTGAGGGAGGGCTCAGCAAAGAAACAATGACCTCAGCCAGCACTTCTGTCTGGAAGAAAGCTACCTCTCCAGCCCTCACCCAAAGCGAGATACTTCAGTTCCTCCTATGTCTCTGGTGACTTTGAGCTTCTGCTCCAGTGCTGGAGCTCGGAGCCAGTGAGTTTAAATAAGTCCATGTGTGGGCCCTTTAAGAGGAAGGCCTGGGAGTTCAGCAGCCCTCAGTCTCACTCAGCCACCATCTCAGCCTCCTTGGTTTTCACAGCCACAAGTTATGGGGACTTCTCTTCCTGATACTGGAACCCCTAGGCTGGGGGCTCGCTGGGGAATGAGATCTCTGGCTCCTCAGGGGGCACCTGCACAGCCAAGATAATCCTCCCAGTTTTTATCTGCCACACGTGGGTGTGGGGCCAGCCCATTAGTCTTCACCCCTCCTACCAGTCTCAATGTGGCTTTTTCTTTATATCCTTAGTTGAAGGGTTCTGTTCAGCTAGATTTCAGGCAGTTCTGAATGATGATTGTTCTGTAGTTTAGTTGTAATTCTGATGTGGTCATGGGAGGAGGTAAGCACAGTGTTCACCTACTTCATCTTGAACATCAATTCTTGAGAAAAGGGAAAGAAGAGAGACAATTAAAAAGTGATGAGATATGAAAAAGTGGGTAAAAGTCAACAACAGAGACAATTTTAAAAAGAAAAATTGGTCAGAGATGTGAAACCCCACAAATATTAAGTAAAGTTAGGAATGAAATCCAGTAGTTAATAGTTTCAGCAGAAAGGTAAAGTCAGATATGCCAATTACATTGGGTTGAAAACTGAGTGAGAAACTTTTCACAAAGTTTTACATTGAAAGGAAAAGAAACACAGGACCATAGTTTGAGATATGTGATGTGAATATGAGAAACACAATATGAAAAGAAAAATACAACTGAGTTGTGTCCCCCAAAAAGATGTTCAAGTTCTAACCTCTGGTTATCTGTGAATGTGGCCTTATCTGGAAATAGGATCTTTGCAGAAGTAATCCAGTTAAGATGAGCTAATAGTGGATTAGAGTGGGCCCTGACCCGACGAGTGGTGTCCTCATAAGAAGAAGGTAATTTGGATGCAGAGACAGAGACACATAGGGAGAGAAGGCCATGTGACAGCAGCCAAAGAACAAGAGGATTGTTGGCAACTGCTGAAAGCTAGCGGAGAAGCATGGAACACATTCTCCCTCAGTGCCTCCAGAAGGAACCAGCCCTGCCTGAAGTGCTTTCAGACCTGTAGTCTCCAGAACTGTGAAACAATGAAGTTCTCGAATTATAAGCCACCCAGTTTGTGGAACATTGTTCAAACAGCCCTAGTAAACTAATACAAAGACTATTGATAACCATCAAAAGATACAGACCTAACTGAATGCTTACAATGAGCATTAAAAAAAAATCACAATAAAGTATGGAAATAACTGACACAAACATAAAAGAATTTAAAAGGAAAAGACAATTGGTGCGAAAAAAAAATCAGTTAAAATCTAGAATAATTATAAGAAATCCTGCTTCATTCGTTGTCATGTTAAGATACCACTTACTTTAATCATAACGACATTTGAAAATAATTTGTACATATCTTTTCATTTTGGGGTCTTGGAGTGAAAAATGGTGTATAAATTTAAAAATTATCATGGGCCTCTCTCAGAATATGGCAGATTTTAGACCTGAAGGTAATTTTTTTCACTTTGTTTATTGAATGATTACAATGAAAGAAGATATTGTTGAAAGAAAGCATGTTGCAAGTATCAGTTGTCTAATGAACCCTAAGAATAATATTCTGTGGCTTGTGCTTCTGGTATTTATTCATTAATACAGTCAACAAATGTTTCTGAGTACCTACTGTGGTGTACCTAAAACACCAGGTTCTTGTTGCTCTGAGATATCGTAGTCAATAGGGTGGGAGAGTGCAGCAGGGGGTAGGTGAGAAAGGGAAGCTTTAATAAGGTTTTCCAAAAATGTGTAGAAGTTGTTTCATGTCAACTGAATCATGTACCCACTTACTATACTTATACATTTAAGATATCATTCAATTAAGGACAGTAAAATAGAAATCATTTGAAATGTGGTTATGCAATTCATATTTTATTTGTTCTTAAATTTACGTTTTTGAGATCTTTCTTTAAAAAAGATAAGACTACATTTTACTTAAAACACATCCCTTAAAGGTATTTTATAATTAATTTGAGCAGTAGAGTTGCTTCCTCCTATGTGGTTGAAATAAGGGGAATTTTTCCTCCCTAATTACCCAGATAATGGGTTCCAGCCTCCCTTTGATGTGTCATAAAGGCTCACCTGTTTCACTACAACCTGCTATTTATTATCAAACAATTGCAGTTTCCCAAATCCCAAATTTCCAAAGGTGCCATTTACCCAAATCACATGTGTGTCCCCTTTGCACCCATTCTTTAAAAAAGAAATTTCCTTGATCAAAATTTTAACCTTGCTTACCCCCCGGTGCATCAGCTCTTTTATTACCTAGTCCAAATTAAAATCCAGAGGACTACTAGTATGCATACTGCCTGTTAAGGCATTTCTTTTAACTGCATTTTAACTATCATGGGTTTAGGTAAGAAAAGATAGAAATCTTGTGAAAATGAAGATATATAAGATCAGGAGTTTAAAAAATAAGATTTAAAATTATCCTATGCCTTTTATAGTAACCTTTTTGGGTTGAAAGCCTGGGACTCTCTCCCATCAGTACAAGGCACATTTCACATATACTCTCAATAGCTATTCTCCCAGAAGCCTGTCCACGAAGGCCATGGTTCCCTCCCCTCAAACAGGTCTGTCACTTCATTTTCTCATTTGACCCCTTGAAAGTGATTAATGAGATAAACTGTACAAAGTACTTGGAACTGTATCTAATGCAAAATTGGAAAGCTTGCTCCCACAATACTATGACTAAACAATTTGACTAAAACTCCTCCAGGGAGATGCACAATATAGAGAGAGTGATTGAAGACGCACTGGGGTGTGTACCTACAAGATACAGGGAACTAGGGGAGGGCTGGAGAGGAGGAGACAGTAGCCTGTACATTGTGCAAAACAAATCAGTGTCCTGTCAGCACAGTGATCATATAAATGATATATGGAGGGGGAATGTTCTAGGAAACATTCTGAATGGAACTTACAGACTTTGAGGAATATGAGTATAAGATTCCGGGAGGCAAAAGGAGGAGGGTCCTTGAAATGCCACTGTGGAAGGGGACTCAGTGTGGATGGGGCCTGGCATGCCTACAGGAAGGAGCCCGACAACTCCTAGTAAGAGCAGAGTCTCTCAGAGGTTCAAGGGGACTTCAGCAAAGACCCTAGGAGACTCTGAAGTTGGGTGCAAAATCTAAATGAGCCTAAAAGGATCCTACATGACATGAGATAAGAACCCCATGAGCTTTGGAAACACATGGAAGAGCCCAAATTGGTCTTTAGGGACCATGGGAGGGACTGGGGGGAGCTGTGTTTCTGACTCCAAGGAAGAGACATGCATAAAAGACAACCTTCTGAAGCCCTGAATGAGCAGACAGTGTAATGATGTGGGGTCTGAGCGGGGGAGGGGGAGGTTGAGGCTCAGGGACCTTGGAAGATCTAGTAAATTTGGGTAAATTCAGTCAGTGTTGCTGTCAGGTTTGCTGCCAATCCATTTGGGGTCTTTGGAGAAATAGAAAAATGTGTGTGTGTCCCCATCCCCACAGGTGGATACATCTCTGCTCTGGTTTACACAGATGAGGAATCAGAGCATGGGCTAGATTTCAGTTCCCACTTGCTCCAGTGGCCAGAGTCCTTTTGCAGGCAACCATCTATCTGCTCAACTGTACACAGAGGCCCTGGATGGATTGAGAATTTTCTATTGGCTAAAAGCTAATTTGTGCCCACACACATGAAACTATTTGGAAAGAGCAAGATATTATTTAGCAGGAAGACTATAAGGATTGCAATTGTAGATAAAAGTTCTCCTAAGGGATGTAAACTAATAAGCGATACAGAGATAATGAGGGATAGCACGCTTGACTTGATCTCTCCAACTTCTAAAATTGTCTGTCAATAGGAATAATATTCTCCTAATCCAGTGATGGTGAACCTATGACACGCGTGTCAAAGGTGACACGTGAACTCATTTTTTTGGTTGATTTTTCTTTGTTAAATGGCATTTAAATATCCTATCTAATAAAACAGAAACATGGTAATTAGCATACATCCGCTACCCTTCCCATTGGCTAATCAGCGAGCTACGCAAATTAACTGCCAGCCAAGATGGTGGCCGGCAGCGAGGCAGCTTGAAGCTAACATGAGGCTTGCTTGCTTCAGCGACGGAGGAAACCAACATTCCCCGCCTGCCTTGCCGGCCTCTGAGCTTGCAGTTTGAAACATTGTTACAAATATAGAAGCTAAACAAAACCCCAGAAACCTGCTTTCAGTCACCCGGGATCTCAGAGCTGGAGTTGATACAGTGTTTCAATTATAGAACCCAAACAAACCAGATACCTGCTTTCAGCAGCAGAGGCCTCAGAGCTGGAGCCAGAGCTAAAGCTGGCCCAGAATAAAAAAGAAAAAAAGGAGCAGTTGGGAGCTTCAGTCACCTGCCAGCCTGAAAACAGCCCTCAGCCCCTCACCCAGACTGGCGAGGCAACCCAGTGGGGACCCCCACCCTGAAGGGTGTGTGACCAGCTGCAAACAGCCATCATCCCCTCACCCAGGCTGGCCAGGCACCCCAGTGGGGATCCCCACCCTGATCCAGGACACCCTTCAGGGCAAACCAGCTGGCCTCCACCCATGCACCAGGCCTCTATCCTATATAGTAAAAGGGTAATATGCCTCCCAGCACCGGGATCAGCAGAGCTGAGACGCCTCCCGGCACCAGGATCAGCGTGACAGGGGCCAGCGCCCAAACCCCCTGATCGCCCTGCGGCTCTCTGTGTGACTGGGGGCGGGGCCACAACCTCCCTATCCGCCCTGCTCTGTTCGTGACAGGGGAAGGCGCCCCAACCCCCTGATCAGCCCTGCTCTGTGCCTGATAGGGGGGAGCTCCCCAACCCCCTGATTGCCCTGCGGCTCTGTGTGTGACAGGCTGCGGTGCCCCAACCCTCCCCCCCCCCCCGGGCCCTGCTCTGTGTGTGACAGGGTAGAGCCATAACCTCCCCATCGGCCCTGCCCTGAGTGTGAGAATGGCGGCACCCCAACCCCCTGATCGGCCCTGCTCTGTGGGTGATAGAGGGCGGCGCCCCAACCCCCCCTCCACGTGCCCTGCTCTGTGTGTGATGGAGTAGAGCCATAACCTCCCCATCGGCCCTGCCCTGAGTGTGACAGTGGCGGCGCCCCAACCCCCTGATCGGTCCTGCTCTGTGGGTGATAGAGGGCAATGCCCCAACCCCCTGATCCGCCCTGCTCTGTGCGTGACAGGGGTGAGCTCCCCAACCCCCTTATGGGCCCTGCTCTGTGCGTGACAGGGTACAGAGCCCCAACCCCCCTGATTGGCCCTGCTCTGTGCGTGACAGGGTATGGAGCCCCAACCCCCCGATGGGCCCTGCTCTGTGCGTGACATGGGGGAGCTCCCCAACCCCCTGATCAAACCTGCTCTGCGCATGACAGGGGGTGGCGCTGCAACCTCCCGATCCGCCCTG